ACTTACCTCCACCTTACGGGAGTTGTCACCTCCCTTCGGTGGGCGTATCCCCGCCGAGCTACCAGTCCACAGTACGAAAGTTGATCTGTTGCAATCGCAGAGGTGGACCAGCCGAGAGCGTTTCTCGTTCGTTGTAGCATAGGGGGTACGCGCGGTAATGCGTCTATCGGCCCCGCACGCGAACCGGCATCTTGGGGGGCTGAAGTCCCAAGCGCGGCTCGTCGTCGGTCGACTAGGACGCATCCCACACACCACGCGCACACCACTTTACGAACACAAAAATAAAACGCACACAGACACGCACATCGAACAAGGCGACAACACTCATTGTCCCTTCAGTAGCCGTCCCATCATAGCCTGAGAACAGATCACAGACCGAATAAATTGACCTGCCTGCGACGCCTTCAGCCAGTAAATCGGCGTGTGGCACGGAGCCTATGTCTCGTATCCTCACCGCGTTGACTTTCTGAAGGTCCTGGATCCATCGGATCTTGCCATTCGGCTTTCGTAGGAAGAACCATCGATTTGCATAAGCGCTATAAGACGGTTCCGCAACATGGGAAACCATCTTTTCCTTCAGGAAAGCGATAACTTCTTCCTTCTCCTTCTGGGCGTATTTCCATCCTGCGTCATTCCAAGGAACATGTGGAATCGTATAAATTCTTGCTAGTTTTGCGTATCGAGGGTCAACCCTACCGCGCTCCGCGTCGCTGAAGGCTATAACCTTATCGCACGTCTTTAGGATCTCTATGACACGTTCTCGCTCTTGTGGGGTCAGATTTCCATCTCCGATGTCCATCCCTGCTATTCTCTCTCCCGTTAGGCGTTGCGGCTCCTTCTTCTTTCTTTCTTTGATTTTCTTTGCGATCTCTTCTTCCGATATCCCTTCCAGTGTAGATCGCTCGCGGCCCACAGCCGCTGGCTTAACTTTTTGTGTTACTCGCTTGTGTCGCTTGGGTAGCCCCCCATAGGGGGCCGTGCCTTTAAAAAAGACACTCTACGATCTGACCCTCTTGCTCTGTGAGCAGTGGTCCCTACTTTTTCTCACGAAATCGCACCGTGAGGCCGGAGATAGGTAATGACTTAATCTGATCACTGGGTGTTGCTCCCACTGCGAAAGCTGCTCTGTTCCTCGGGTCCCGAAGCTCCACCGTCTCAATCATAGCCCGCGTCCCATCTAGTTTTTTAATGGATAATGTCTGGTTCCCATCCGGTCGCTCTATCGTCACCGCATGCACGTGGCTCAACCACGTTCGTCCCAAGAGCAGATCGGAGTTGCAGTTCTTGACTCCAAAGACAGGCAGGGTCACTCGTACCCCTTGGACCTCTATGGCTGCCTTGTGACAAACCCAGTGATCTGTTGCTTTCTCCCATCAGCGGTCTCTATTTCGAATAGGTATGACCTATCGAGGTCCAGTCCAACCTGTACTGCCAGATCATCGTCTATAATGACAGCCTCATTGCCGTTATCGATCACAGCATCTAGTACCGCTCCATCGTTCATGATCGTCTCCATGGCCCCACTACCAAGTATGTAAAACTTGTCTGGAGGTACACCTTCTATCCCATCAAGAAGGACTGTCGCCATGCGATCCGCTCTGGCAGTCACCCCTGTTACTGCTACGGTAGGAGCTTCCGCCTTAGGAGCCCCCTGAGCCTCCTCTGGTAGAGGTACGCGAGTCTTCCGCGTGATCATCTGTAACTCATCGCGAGCCGGCTTCAATGCCGCCAGGTACTCCAGAATAGAGCATTGCATGGGCTGCCGAAGAGCCCGTCTCAGTGGCTCGACCGTGTCAATCTCATCCAACGAACTCTTCATCAAGAACTTATTTACTCCCCGCTTTCGCGGCGAAAGAATAACCTCCTCTCCATCGATCCGCTGTCTGCCGTCCTTCTCCGCCATCACGTAATCCGTGTCGGTCTTCTTCGATGTAGACCCTCTCGCGGACTTGGTAGCTGCCACCCTTATGGGTGTGGTCGCCATGTCCCCTTCAAAAGTTATCTTGATGCCCTGGCTCCTAACCGGCTCCTTTCCTTTACTCGGCTTTACTCTCCTTGCTTCGACATTCTCCTTCATCGAGGGGAACATCGATACATCTCCCAGATCAGATCATCTGCCCATTTGACGTACTTCCGGTCATCAAGCACGACAAGGCCTTCATCTATTGCTCGTTTGAGATCCGGGCAATCTCTCTTGATATGATCATTCCCCTTGCAGTAAACGCAAGAGTTCCTGGGTGTGGGTGGCCTGTCGTTTGCGCCTCTGGAGGTCGAACCTCTCGCTGCTCTCGGGTCAGGGGACTTCAGATACGGGTGAGCCGAAGCGCGATATCCCCCTCTCTCATTCCTGCCGCGCGAATCATTGCGGCGGTCTCCGTATACGTATCGACCGCGTGAATCATCACGTCGGTCTCCTCGGTCGTACCGCCCTCGTGAATCATCGGTCCGATCTCCTCTCTCATATCTGCCGCCTCTGTATCCGTTTCGATCCGACCTCTCATATCTGTCGTCTCTATGCCCATCGCGGTCCGATCTCTCATATCTACCATTCCTGTATCCGTCTCAATCCGACCTTTCATATCTGTCTTTTCTACGTCCATCGCGGTCCGATATCTCATAACTACCATCCCTGTATCCATCTCGCCGGCCCTGATCCGACTCCCATCGGCCTCGAGAGTCACTTCTACCCCCGTCAGGCTCATAGCGAGGGCTACGCGAGTAATCATCCAGTCTCCTAGCACGCCCATACATCTCGCGAGTCCTATGGTCCCGGTCTATCTCATCATCCCTACGTCGCCATGGCTCATCGTCTCTCTCCCTTTCCCTCATACTATAATCAGTCAGTGTTCGAGGATTTCTATCCTCGACACTCCTCCAGGAATCAGTGTTCCTCCGGTCCCAGCGAAGTGAATAGGGCCCTCCGGGCTTGTCCCGGTATGCCGTGGCTCCTGTGGTGGTTACAATTTCTGTAACCTGTCTGGTCAACCCCTTTACCATGTCCCTTATCTCCTTCACTTCTTCTGCTACGGCTTCATTCTTCTCCGACCAGGGATGGTCCTTGAAATCAGGACATCTATCGGTGGCATACTCCTTGTAGAGGGAGAAGTCACGCCTCCTCATCCCTCTCCACACCAAGTCCTTGTAATCATCTGCCTCTGCCTTTATCGCGAGCTTTAGGACTTCTGGGAAGTCAAGCTTGTCGCGCGAAAAATCTCTAAGTATACTCTTTTGTCTACCTTTGGATAGGTGTCCGATGAAGATAGTACAACGCTCGACCTCTGAGATCTTCCCCTTCTTCATCGACACGTCGGAGATCTTCTGGAAACGCATCCCAAATGTCCGTACGCTCTCATCTTCATCTTGAGTCATCGTCTCCAGGTCCTTGATGGAGTACTTGTTATCCTCCAATTTGTAAAGCTCAACGAGGTTCTTTTTGTACGTAGTCCATTTCCCATCCTTCGGTCGAGCTTCCTTAACTTCCCTACCGAGACTTGGGTCCACATTAAATAGGAAGTTTTCTATAATCTCTTCCTCTGACCACTGACTCCGACTTGTATGAAGCTCCCACTTCTCTAGATATTCTGTGATGCCATAACCCCTAAGGGTAGGTGGCTCAGAGGCCTTGTGCGTAATAATATAGCGATCCTTGCTCTCGTAAGGGACCGGATGCGACTCCGTTGTCTGGGGGTCGAAGACTCGCCTGGGCGGCACCCTGTCTCTGTCCCTCCAATAGGAATTCCTCGAACTCTCTCGCCAGTCGTCTCTGGGCCTATCCGCCATGGTCTCCCTCCGCTCATACTCGGGGGAGCGTTGTCTCGTCGCTTCTCGTCGACCGCTCGAGGTTCCCGTCTTCAGTGCCTCCTGCGGCTCTGTCACGACCGGCTCGCCCATTACGTCGGGCTCTCCATCATTGGTTTGGTCGACCCATCTCAGCGGCGCTTCACGCCTAATTCGGTCCTTGAGATCTCTCAGGGCTCGATCGGGCGATGTCCTGTACTCCTCCCCCACTTCACCTGTGGTTGGTTGTGGCCCCATTGCGTCTGGTTCCATAGGCCACCTGAAGACGCAGTTAGGCACTCTCGCCAGGTGTTACAGCCCGGACTTATGACAGTTGCTGCAGCCCGGACCTGTGACAGAACTCACAGCCCGGACCTGTGACAAAACTCGCAGCCCGGACCAGTTTCCTTGTCACGGTTCACGCTCGTCACCACCCCTAGCTCTCGACTGCCCTGATCACTACCACCAGTACTTGGTTCCAGTCGCGGATCTCGTGCTCTCCCTCTATCCCAAGAGTCCCTGTGTCTAGGTAAACCTCCCCTTCGGGATCGGCCAACAAGGCCGCGCCTCTCCGAATCTGCAGTACATCCGTGACGGGATCTCTATGCCTGCGGCAAATCGCAGTCCCAAGCCTAGCCAATGTCTCCTGATCAGCCCTCCTCAAGAGTCTCCGTGCGTTTATCTCCGTCCTCCTTGCTAGGTTTCCTAGCCCGTCCTGAATCGGGTAGCTTGCCAAAGGAGGAAGCTCTCCTCCTACTGCCATCCAAAAGTCGTTCGCTGACCTTTCTGACCTCCACTTTCTTTCCAAGAGCTCCGAACCTCTATTTCTCCTTCTTTAACTCCCAGACGGCTATGAGGTCATATGTCTAGTACCTGAGGTAAGTCAGTGCTATAACCACTCGTAACCTCATCGCATTTTATCCTCCGTCCTCCTTCTATTCGAATCCAAAGTCCTGTCCCCCTGGCCTCACTCAGTGCATGGCGGACACACTCTGCCTCCTCAACTATGCACAGTCTGGTATGGAGTTGGAGCTTTACGATCACTAACACCAATGGTCCGTCCAGTCTCCCTACCACATGCAATGAGTACCGATCCATCGTGTGTAGTGCAGTCCCGCTCATGTCCTGTCGCTACCTCCCTGCATTACCTTGTCCTCCGTCGTCACACCCCCTGCAGATCGCTCACTGGTTCTTTCGCGTGATACGCCCCTAGCCTTCACCCTCTCCAGAAAGTCTGATCTCCACGCCTGGATAATCTCTCTTTCTTCCCTAAACAGACTCTCCAACTCTCTCGTCACGAGCTCATCCCTACGCAACTTGTCCTCATCCTGGCATGACCAGATCTCCCTTAACTTGTTCCCCAACTCCTTTACCTGGTTCAGGAGTGGCTCTTTAATGCGGTCTCTCACTCTTTCGACTGCCTCACTCTTCTCTTCCATACTCAGTCTTTATCTTTTCCCAGCTCATCCTCTCACCCTTGCTCTAGCCTCCGCTACCGTCTTGTCGTGGAAGTGCTCCGCACACATATAGCCATGCGACCATATCATCACCTCATAGGAAATCGAGGTCTAGAAGGTCACCCGCGCCAGTACATCAACTCTATGCTCGTGGATCAAATCTCTGGCTCGTTGCCAGCACTCCCTCGCCGTCAAGTCCTCTTCTACGTACGCTCGGAGAAGTACTATCATAGTGTACCCTGTGCTTACCAGTTGCTCTCCTACACGCATCACTGTGGCCGTCCTCCCCGGCATTCCCAAAGCTGCGGTCTCGAAGAGAAACCTCACATCCTCTAGCCCCACGTAATCGATTTCCGCTCGTCTCCTGCAGTACCTAATCAGATCGACTGGCCTCAGACAGTCCACCCAGCTAGTAACGTCTATGATGTCGTCAAGCGTCTCTCTACTGGGTGGCCCCCACCTCACACAAATGGCGTAGTATACTTCCCGGAAACGGGGCGCTAAGCCCTCCCAGAGCGCGTAAAGTGTGTGATCCACTGCTCTACTCAAACGTTCTATACTCCCATAGGTCTGCCCTATCACGGAGGTAGGAAGTCTGAATCGCCCATCCTCTCTCGGGTAGAGGGTCAAGTGCGGAGGACCGTATACCAAACGGCTCCAACGTGTCCTCCCTCCAGAGTGTCTCGCTAGTTGCTGATTAACGATCACTCTGGCCAACAACTCGCTCCTCCACCAACTCCTGCTCGCCCCTGCGAGCGTCAGTCCTATCTCTAAATCGTGTGCTCTATCCGCTATCAGATGTCCGACCCCTTCTAGATCATGAGTCCTCTCGGGTCGTTCGTCTCGTAGTATCACTGTCCAAAGGAAGAGTCCCTCTGCGAGCCACGTTCCCAAGTATCGTATCGGAACACGCCCTGTTCCTTCTAACGCCACAGGAAGTGGAATGTCGTATCCGACCRCCGTCTCTCTGGGTYTCACAAGCTTCCTCACGCTATACGATTCGGACTCTYGTGAGAGAACATAGGCTAACCAGGCTACCGAGTCACTCCTCATCTCCCCTCCGACTCTCGATCAACATCACTCTACTCCCTCCGATGCACCCTATCTCTCGACGTTGCTAACTCCTCAGACAACTCTCCCATTCAAGTCCAGTATGGTCGAGTAGGTGATGTGCGCTCTCCCGTCCGCTCCATGGAAGTAGATAGTAAACTCGACAAACCTCTGGATCCTCCGTATCTCCAGGGCATGTTCCGTCATGAGTCCGATCTGTCGCTCAACAATCTCTAACGCCTCTCCTTCCCAGCCACCCGTCCTATCTCGTCGCAGGGAAAGAGTCACCCTCAGTATATTCCGGTCTACCATACTCTCCACTACGCCCTTCTCTAAACCTCACTCGGATATGTCCTGCCTCTAGTCGTCTCATGCTTCTGGCATATCCTCATCTGTGTCCTCATCTACCCTCTGCCCCCATGGGATGTCCTCCTGTCCCTCGGCCTGAAGGAGATGACCTCAACCGTCCTCCTGCGGCGCCTCTCCACCTACCTGCTCCTGTCGCTCAGCCCGCGCCAGATCTCCCCAGTCCTCGTCCTGGTCGCCCCAAGGGTCTATGTTATCGAAGTCCTCCCAATCCCGATCCTCGGCGTACCACGCAAGACCGTCAGCCTCTGGATATACCTGCTGATAATACTCCTCAATCTCCCCGGTCGAGATGAGATGGCCCGGCCTCTCCTCACGAGACTCGGCTAGCAGCTGTCCCACACCAGCTAAATGATCAGTTGGTCTCCGAGCCTCTCTCTCTAGCGCCGTCTAGAAGGCTAGGGGCTGGTACAGAGAATACAGGTCTGGGCTCCCGATAGGTACAATGGCCCGTTGGAACTCAATCAACTGGAACCCTCGCTCGCCTACAAAAGGCCCCGCTACAAACTGCGCATACAGCACCCAGTCCCTGTCAGCGTACCCTCGGCAAAGGCCGTCTAAGTCGAGAGCCGCAAAGTAGATCTCACCCAGACGTCCAAGTCCCCAAAGCTCCTCCGCCACGAAGCACGGAAGTGTCACACGCAGTCGACTACTAGGATATAGGAAGTGTCCTCCAATCCTCAAGGTCGTCGTCACTCCCAGAATGCCCCCGTGCAACCGCTCTACCTCGTCCCGCGCGGAGTCTGCTCGGGACAGTAAAATCCTCTTCGCGCTCTGTTCCTCTCGCCAATGATCGTGAACAATGCCGTGAAAATAGACTGTGGCTAACACCTCCCGTGAGTAGTAATTGTGGCCCACTACCTCTATGTCAGTTGTGCCTGGTCGTCGCCACCTCAGACTGTCTAGGTCAAACGTCTCGATGACATACGTCCACAAGTGTACGTCTGGGCCTAACACCGTCGATGACCATCGGCTCTCTATCGCATCCGCGGAAACCCCTCTGGCCGGCAGATCCAGCGCCACCTTCCCTGGCGCTACTGTCTCTGGAGGTCTAGGCCATCTAGCGTCGTCGATCTGATGCTCCACTCCACTGGCCTGCTCTATCATCGATCCGTTCTCGCCAATACCAGTAGCTAAGCTCACTCAACTGCCGCTCTAATGAGCTCCTCTGCCTCCTACGCCCGGACGACTACTCCTATCTTGGGGAAGTGGGCGTCCGTAACGTCGATCTCCTCCTCGTCAACCTCACTCTCTGGGTCGACCCAGTCTGGCTCCCAAGCGTCCTTGTGGTCCTCTCGCTCCCAACCTTCATCGTCAAACTCGTCCTCGACGCGGTATGGGGCCTGTCCTATAGCCTGGTAGTACTCCGCCAACTRATGGCCGTATATCAGAGGTCGCCCAGCGTCCTCACTCCACCAGCTCCCCCAGTCGTCTGAGAAGAGTCGCCCAATGCAGGTCACGTACTCAGGGCCTGCTCTGAGCTCACGGTCTAGCCAATCCCAAACGCACGGAGACTGGGGTCACTCGTCGTCTATCGAACGGATCAGCTCTATAAGCTGAACCCTCTCGTCACCCCAACGAAGCCCACCGGTCGCGAGCGAATAATAGATGTAGTCGAGGTCGACAGGCCTTCTCGCCAGGATCTTGAGATCTTGATAGGCTAGGTATGTCTCGACCACTCCACTAATGCCTCCAAAGACGCTCTCTACTACGAACGTCGGAACTATCGCCCGCAGACTCCTAACGCTGTACGGGAAAAACCCGTCCCGTGCTACCACCAGCTTGCCCGTGATATCTAGAGGAGGGCGCCCATGAAATAGGGTCAATGGGTCGCTCGAGTCCTCTGCTCGGAAGGCAGCTACCTCTTCCCTCAGGTAGCGTTTCGCCTTGCTAACCGCGCCACTAGTCCCTGTCGCCGCGAGGCTCAGCACGGCCTCCGTAACCGCGCTCGGTCCTAAGTACAAGTAGGCCCTCACTATGCCCACTCCTTGCCCAGGCTGGTGCTCTCTGCGAGTCCAAAGCCACACGTCATTTGACAAGATTATGGACCTCCACACAAACTGGCTGTCAACGTGTCGAACGCTACGCCCGGGGATCGTGAGTTCCACCAGATCCCCTTCTATGAGTTCAGGAGGCTCAAAGTCCCAGTCGATGGTGGCCTCATAGACTTCTACTTGCGCTCGCGGCCACATCCAACTGGCGACTAGGGTGAACGCAGCAAGAGGGATGGGTAGAGAAAGTGAAAGATAGGAGAAGAAGGTTTGTCGAT